CGCGCATGATATATGATATTCATGTGTTGCATTCGTTTCAGGAGAACTGAAAAATATTCGCAGCACGATTCTCGTTTTTACGTGTTTTATTCAATATTCTCACAATTTTCTTTCGCCCTGATTACACATGAACGTTACTTGCAGATTCTTGGCGTACGTCCGAGATTCTTGAATTGTCGAAGTACATGTTTTCGCACATGTTTTCAAATGTATAAACAGTCATAGAAAATTTCTCTATGCTTTTCTTATTTCCAATTATTTTAATTCCAACATTTTAAATTCCAAATTGAATCGAGCATTTCCGGATATTCGAAAATGCTCGAATTGACTACGGTCCTGTACTTTCATCATTTTCAAATATATAAACATGTCCGACGTTCACAAAAGATCCTACCTTTATTCTTATCTCACTTCAAATTATTTTACTTCTAAATTTATTTTAATTCCAACATCTTCAATTCCAAATTAAATTTGGCTTTTTGAATACTTTTTTTCAAGATAATGTAATTTCCTCCCTATTTGAATCGATTCTTGATACAATTGTTGTTATCGATCTGATACAAATATTCATTTTTATAATTATAAAATAAAATATAAATCATGACTACACGTATATCAAATACAGTGATATAACAATATTACTGCTATAAATTTCTACAATCGTTACGCCTTATTTTTCCAAATTCATTTCGTATTGAACGAACGTGAAACGAGAACTATGGAGGGGGCACCATTACCAGGATTCTCCAAGCGACAGGCATGAATTGTAATCTTTGACAGCGGCGATCGAACGAGTCAAGTTTTACTATGCGATCTCCTCTCCGATGGAAATTAAATATTATTGCCGCAGCACCGACCGGATCTGAAGCGATCCCGAGCTTAACCAAGTTATAATCGTCCGAGCCACTCGATCCTCCAGCAATCCGACTAATAATTCGCTGCTACTTGGTACAGAGATTGTACTCTAAATGTTGAAGAGTCTGCTCGCATCGTCCGTCTAGTTCGAATCGTCTTATCGTCGTCTCTGTCAGGAAATGAGAGAGCTGGATCGGCGCAGCTGACGCAAACAAAAAAAACACGAAATTTTTCCGCCCGAAACTTTTAGATGGTCAGCTGGCGTTAATGAAACCTCCCTGAATGATGAATTATTCAATCCGTGGATTCAGCGAGCAACTCGCGATTTCTCCGCCGGTCTCGGCTTGTTTCCGAATTTCACGTTCGCGATCGACTAGCGAACTTCGTTCGTCGACGTCGGCCCCGTTTCGTAACGCGTCAGTCAGCGACTGGTGGGATCGTCGAAGTGACACTGCGAATTCTTTCGATATAGCGACGACTCGACAAAAGAAGCTACCACAACTTCGCGTATCTTCGCGAATTTCCTTCCTCGATTTTCCAGCCCTGTTTTGGGGCCATTTTACTAAATTCAATCTAATTGTTAGAATTATTCTCTATAGAAAAACGTTACAAGTCGTGAGAGGCGTTTATTATCCCATTTAGATATACAGAGTGTCCCATACGAAGCTACTTGCTTTTTGCTATTTTCTCTTAAATTATAGAGAAAAAATCTTACGTTGTTTCGAGGCGGCCACAAACCTGATCTGTTGTAGATGATCAGGCTTCAGAGATTTCAAGGTGATCTTTACTCTTTTTAAATGGAACTGTATATTTTTGAGTTCATAGTCTAGCTGACGTTCCAAGGTCATTCAAGATCATTTAACTCCGCTCAAAGATTATCAGAGGTTGTTTGAGCATATAGGGGTTGTTTCTTATCTATGATGCTCGAAGTGACGACATCTTGGATGCCAACGCATTGATTTATTCTTATCCCAAACGACAGTTTATTTGGAAAGACTTATTCAAAAAATACGGTTTTCTTAATACATTGTTTAAACAAATGGCTTCTTCGCAAAATGACACGTATTGCATTAAATTTTTCGTTACGAAAAAGCACTAATTTCATCAATTCACACAAAAACTGTATCTTCAATCACTTTCGAGATATATTTGTAAAAATATAAATATCTGTTATATATGTCACCTAACTTTAAGAATAGTTTCACTCCTTCAACATCAACGATTGCTTATAAAAAAAAGAAAAAAAGAAACACTTCGAAAACTAACCTTGTTAGTATTTTTCTAGTATTCATCGTTTTAATTTCACTGCTTTTTTAAACGAACCACGAGCAGTGAAACGACCTGAACTTTAAAGTGATTGGCCAGTACTCGCAATCACATTCGTATAAAATAGATCCTAGATCAGTGGGAAAGACAGTACAAGACATTATAGAGATTGCCATTACAGAAGTTAACGATTACAAAGGTTAGCACACTACAGTACATATTACAGATAGAATAAAATACTGCGTCATTGTACAGTCCGATCTCATCGGAATCATTCCTATACTTCACTCACGCGATCCATAATGTTAGATGTAAGGAAAAGTTTCATCGTCTCTTCTTCTTTTTTCTTTAATTTAAAATCGTTTATTTTTCTTCTGTTTTGTTTTTTACATAAAAGTTAATCTGTTATGTAATTTCATTCAACAAGTTTTGGCAACTTTCTATTTATTCCACTAGAAAATGTCTCATCTTTTGACGAAGAACTCCGTCAACAGGCATTTGTGCCTCCGCGAAATTGGCGAATATTTTTAAGAAAATTTTGTAAGCTGCGGGAAAAGTCACTGCAGAGTAAAGAGGATGTAGAAGAATTTCCCACTCAAGCTCTTTAATTTTTTACACCGTTTGCCCATACTTGTGGACTCCATCGCGAGTTCCTTTCGCTCGGATGCCATGCTCGATCACGCTCGATCACGTCCTCTTTATTTCGTCGCCGCAAACGAAAAATAAAAGGGAAGAGGAATCGCTCTTGGATGCGTTGTTTTCCATCTCACCGGATATCG